GTAAAATACAAAAGTACGAAATGTGTGAGATAGATATGTACTAATCACATGACCCCAGTTTTGTCTATTCACGAAAACGGTCATAAAAATACAGTATTAACAATGTTTATGTTTGGATAGTGTGACTGAGGCTGCTTTCACTTTCTTATATACATATTTTTGAATCTTCTGCTATAAATGTTTTATTTCAAGATCACATTATCTCAAATGTGTGTAGAGTGAGTCTTTACAGCAGATCATTATTGAGTTATATAGTAAAGTAAATGTATCACCTGCAAGTTGGACGGAGTTGATAACATTTAGACTTTCTTGGGAATTCTAGTGCATGGAGGAGGCTCTAGATTTTTTCATTAACACCAGAGTCAAGACCAAGTTTACTTCTCACTTGTTCATGTTTTAAAATTATATATACACATATTCTTTGGTTTGGAGATTTTTATCATTATATTTTAAAGTGTATTTTAAATAGTTTTGCCTTCCATCCTCCAAGATACCACCATATTCTAATTTAACCTTTACCCTTTCAACAAACTATGTTTTCAACCACTGATGGAGCTCTCTGTTCATCTTTTACAAAAGCTACCCCAGATTTCAGTAGACCCCAATAAATTGATTTTCCTGTTAGGAAGGAAAGCATATAAATTTAAACTCAACTATTCTAGAAATGGAAAGGAATTCGCAGCACAGCTATTTCTGAATATGACTCTTGTATTTAGAACATCTGATTAGTCATTACATCTAGTCTTATAAGCAAGTGATAGACTGAGCACATAGTGTTATTTCTTTATGCATGCATGGCTCAGTGATATTTTCTAGATCACATTGTCTTTAAAACAATTCCCTCATATGTAAGGTTTCAGAAGCGTTAATTTTAATGGAATGTCTAAGGCTTATGGTAAGTGCATTCTATTCAAAATGAAAGAAATTCTTACCAAAATGATGTGGAAATTCTCAATCAAGTAGAAATTTGAACACACTGATTTGCAAATTAATGTGAGTCATTAATATTAAACATGTTTGAATTTTTTTTGTTTTTTTCCTTTCTCCCTCCCTCCTTCCTTGTATCCCTCCCTCCCTCCCTCCCTCCTTCATTCTCTCCTTCATATTAATTTAATAATGCCTGCCCCTCATTCTTAGATATTGGTCTTGTTGATTCATACCTACTGTCTATGCTTTATATACCTATACTACTCCTTGCATATTGAAGGATAAATACTGGGAACGAGGCACAAAAATACAAAATTTCATGATATAATTTGACGATTGAATAAATTTCAAAATATATTACAACATGGCTTTATATTATCCTAAGTGATACTTGATTCTGTAAGTTCACTCTTAAATACTTACCTTTTTTCCAGAGTTTGCTTTCTCAGAAATTTGTTGCAATTTGTAAGTAAGGCTGAATTTCTGAACACTTTAATTGTGGAAGGATTTGACAAACCTAAAATGCTTATAGAAATTACTTATTGAGTGTTTATTACTCTAAACGTTAACATATCTGCCAATTTTTCAAACATCAACCAAGGCACTAAAAAAACACTATGAAAATAACCGTGGCTTTGATTATTGGTTACCAATGGAACTCCAAAGCTGAAGAACACCATTCATCTGTAAACTTTGCCTGGAAAACCACTGAAAGATTGCCATAGTTATCCACAGAATTCCTTTTGCCGATTTGATACATAATGATTGACAAAAGCAATCAGTTGATTTAAATTCAATGTAAGCTCATTTTAATATGAGGTGCCTTGATGTATTAACCCTTCAGGCAGAAAATTTTATAATTCATGTTGGGAGCAAAATCCAAGTTATAATTACAGATACTTTCACATAAAGTTAGTCTAGTTTTCAACAAATTCTCTCAATGGAGTTTCAAGTTTAACATGAACATTACTGAAATGACAGCCTCAATGCTTTCTTTCCAAATTGGAAGGCCAAAGATCAAGGCCCCAGTTTCATGGCATCTGGAGACTGGGCCTTAAGGGATATAATAAAGGTTTAATGAAATCATAAGGGTGTGTCTCTGATAGTGTCTCTAGGAGAGGAGACACCAGAAATCTTTCTCCCTCTTCAGGCAAAGGCCATGTCAGGACATACTAAGAAGGCGGGAATATACCTGTCTACTGCCAGAAGAGCGGTCTCCCCAAAAAACCACTGACAGCATTTTGATCTTGCCCTTAGAACTGTGAGCAAATAACTGTCTGTGGCTCAGCTTCCCTGTCTGTGAAGGGAGAATTCTGTGAAGGCAATGGGCGTTTGCACGGGGGATAAGAACTGTCTCTCCTGTGAGATCATATGCCCTTGCTTGGAGTCAGCAATAATCCGGTTCTCTGGTCAGGGGTGGGGTCTTCCAGCCACAGCTGCAGCACAGGTGATGGTTAGGGCAGTAAGTATCATTTTCTTTGCTGAAAGAATTTGCAAAGGGCCTTAAAAAAAAAAGAGAGAAAGAGAGAGTGATCTCATTCCCTCGATGGGCTCTCCTTAAAGTACTATTTCTAGGTCATTGCCATTGTCCTTCTCAGTTCAAGAGGCATAGGTACAGGTACATCCTTGAAGAACGTGATCATGAAGACTGAGATCTTAGGGAAGTGCATAGTGATGGAGATAAAATGCATTTCCAGCACTTCACCCCTCAAGTCCTAGGAAGACAAACTCGGCCATATGAGGCGTTTCATGAGCTTTGCAAGAGGTTCAAACAATGGCTGTGTTGTTCACTGTCTCCCCTGTTGTGTCTGCCTTTCTCTCACCCACTGCATGAATTTCCTCAGAGTCAGTATCCCCAGGCGCAGAGGTGACTGTGTGACTCTTTCTCCTAAACAGGGTGAGCCAGGGAGCACCTTCTTATAGTCACAGGACTCCCACTTCTGTTTTGAGTGGATCTGCATCTGGAAACCAAAAGTTATTTTTTAAAATTCTAATAATGAAATATGGTTCACTTAGCAGTTAGCATCTCCTAAAACCCCCTTCCAGAAAAAAAAAAATCTGGAAGCTAAATCTTATACAACTACTTATCAAAGTATTTTTTTCCTGGGGTCCATCCCTTAAATGGAGTGTACAAGATTAGGTTTCTGCACCAACAATGTTTATAAACTTTCCAAGATTGGATATATTAACTTTTGCCATGAACTCCAGTGTTTTCTCATCTTTATCCTTTAGAGTGATTGATTTATCTCTCCAAAGTCTTGAGGAATTTACCATTCTTTATATGTATACATATATAAAATAATATATAAACATTTTGTTGAATATATTTGCTTATTTATTAAATAACTGCTTAGCTTTATCTCAAATTCATCTTCCTAAGTGGCATCACCAAGTCTCAAAAGCAGTGAGGTAGCAAAGTGAGATTTTTATGGTCCATATAAAATTGCGAGTATCTCTGCAATGTGTGGTATCTTCCATACTTCCATATTACTTTGCTTTGAATCAAAATGATTACATCTCCAGGGACAAATTATTTTTTTCTGGCACTTTTCAGGCTTTAATTTTCACTTTAGTGCTTTTGGGGTGGGGAAGATAGCTACCCATATATTCTGTGAAACCATTTGTTTACCCACAGAATTTCTTTATGATCATCATTTATAAGTCATTGCATTATTTTTTCATATTCCTTACATAACCTCAGATGAATTCACTGAAATTTAGACTTTTTTCTTAAT